CAACCGGTTGGACCGGTGACGTATCATGATGACCTCAGCAATAAAACATAAATTATAAATCTGAAAATTTGAAAAATTCAACACCACCATTTAATAATAATCCCAATATCGTGTTGTTTTCATCTGATTACAAATTAAATAACAAAATGAGAAAGATAGTCACATAATATAATACAAAAATCATTTGTTGTTAAGGTTTTCTCTTTTACAGTCTCCAATCTTTTGAATTTCAGACATTGAAAGGTTTGTGAAATAGTCTTCTCCAGATTGAAAATCTGAAACGCATATAAAACATGCTCACATAAGGAAAAGAAACTCCAGAATGCATAAATGCACCAACAATATAATTAAGAGCAAATTCAGATACATAAAATCAATTCATAATCGACTTCAATCGAACTTGATAAATTAAAAACCAAAAAAAAAAAAAAAAACAAAAAAAAAAAAAAGAGGAAAAAGAAACTCACTTGTCTAGTGAAGCGGACAAAATCAAGATCGAAGAAAGAGAAGTTAATCAAAGAGACCAAAGTGCATCCGGAAAAAATTATAGCAAGTCACAACAAAGTCAAGAGCTTTGCCTTATATATAAATAAAAGAATCAAAACAACATTGTCAACCAAAGATTCACGCATCAAGACAGATAATTTCATTATTAAAATCTATCTCTATATCCAATTCAAACCCAAAATTATTATTATTATTATTTTATTAAAAAACCATAAATTAGGGAAAAAAAAACCTAACCCTGAATTCAATTTCAGTTAAGTGAAATGGAGAAGGGAATTGTACTGGGAAAATTGTAGAAATGAAAAAAAAAAAAAAAAAAGTGTGCATTGAAATGAAATGAAAATAAAAAGAATACAATGAGACAAAATTACATGAAAAATTAAGGTTTGGTGCGAGGAAATCGAAAATGAAAGGAAAAGAGAATCTCACCTGCAAAATCAGTGAAGAAGTACAGTTTCTTAGTTTTTCTTGCCGTTGTTGAAGTTGAAGAAGATTCAATTTCGATCTTCTTTACACTATGCAAAAGCCGACTGCTTTTAATGTGACACGACTGCTTGGAAATTACTCACATGCCCCTCATTTCAAATTCTGAGTTTATCGTGAATGTCACAGCGGAAAAAAGCTTAAGTTTTGTTCCCGTCGACTAAAATGAAGTCTGACTCATGAAGCTCGACTAAACCTGCATTCCACATACAACCTGTGAAGTTTGAGCTTGATATCAAATCAAGCAATTAGTCTTCGAAGCTCGAAACAAGCACCGAACACTAGGGAGTAGATGTTGTGTGTGATTTTTTTCATTAAGCGCGAAGAAGTCAGAGTTCAGCAAGGTTATAGTTTGACCCATATAATCAGTTCGACTCAACACTTGTCCAACCTAGCATAAGCTAGTCGAGATATAGCTCGACCCAGCATAAGCTAGTCGTGACCAATCTCGACAGTTGTTCAAGCAAATCATAGATAAGCTCAGATCCCAAATATTTTGGAAGAGATCAGATCAACAGCAATAATGGCGCGATCTTAGTGTTCAATAACGAGAATATCAGAGTTGCATTTTAATCATAATTGTAATTCCTTTAATTTTGCTATTTCCTTTGTAAAAAACTTGTATATAAACCCCTTTCAACGATAGAAAATGGGTTAGAAAATTGTTCTAGGCATTAGACTCTTTACTTATAAGCTCTCAAAGAAAATAAGAACCACAGTGGACATAGACTCAAGAGTTAAACTTACCGAACCACTTTAAAAACCTTTATGTGTTCTTTACATTATTATCATTACATTTATTGCATGCTGGTTATCCATAATCACGCACACATTATTTCCAATTCCACTAAGGTTAATCGGATCGCTCTAGTTGGTGTAATTTTTGCATCAACAAACACAATTGATATGATTAATTGAAGAAAGAAGAATGCTATAGGAAACAAATAATATGAAAATAAAAAAGAAATAATGGACATTTTTAGATAAATATTGATACAACAAAGTTGATACTTTGATGTGGGCTTAAATTGGCTCACTTTATCTACCAATTACAAAAAATTATAAGCAAGAGTTCAATAATAAAAAAATAGAGTAAATGACATGTTCCCACCCAAGGTTTCGCTAAATGGCAAGTTCCCATCCCTGGTTTCATAAATTCCAGATTTTCACTTTTAAATTAACATAAAATCGTTTAATGTAATGGTTAAAGGGTAAAGTGGTCATTTGCACTACATTAAATCTGAAATAAAAATGAAAATTTCAAATAACCCTCCACATCTCAAATTTCTCTCACAAGTACCCTTAGGCCCGAATTTTCCTCAGTTGCATGACTCTCGTCTCAAGCCTGATCTAGCCTGATTCTACTGTCGTTGGCCTCCCCCGACAACACCACTACCACCACCACCACCAACATCTCCATCCTCCCTTGTAATACCTCGTATTCTTTGTATGAAATTTTACTAAATTTTATTTTGTGATTTTGGGGGGTAAAGTGTGAGAATTTGAAAGTTTTAAGGGAGTATAGTGTAATAGCTGAAACAAATGTGGACGGTGAAATCTACGATTACGAAAATGGGGGTCTGATACCGTCAGGTTAAGACCACTAGTAATCCGCTGCACCTGCACACACAAAGAAATAAGCGTGAAGTGAACGAAAAACACCAGAGTGGTGTTTGCCATAGGCACTCCGATGCTCAAGTCAGCAAAGCTGAATGAGGCTAATTTAGTGAGGGTTAGGAAAAAAAGGGTTGTCGAAAGTTTAGTCAGAGACTAGAAGTACGATGGTGGTGTATAGCTCTCAAGGGCGAGAACTAGGGGGTTTGAAGGTGTAATGTTGAATGTCTTATGAGATGGCAAGTCTCTGTTTATATAGTAGTCGTAGGATCTTCGAATCCCAGTAGGATTATGAGTCCATAATGGTTGAGGTTAATGAGTAGAAAAGTCTTCAATTCACTTGCCTTAGTAAGGGAAGGAGTCCTATTTAATGTAAGATTCGAATCTTAGACGAATTAGGATATAGGTGAATCTCTTCAAGAGAATCTGGATAGTACTGAAATAGGAAGTAGATAGCCTTAGGGTCTAAGTAAACCATAGGTTTTGTAGGTGATCTAGGATCAATGGGCTTGGGCTCCGATAAACTAACGGTGAGGCTTAAGTGAATTAAGGCCTTAGTGATTGCGCTCAATTTGTAAGCGCCCTGGTGGGTGCAATGGGCTGGCCCATTACGTGAATTCTATTGTGGGCCCAACTAGACTTGGGTTAAGGCTTTGAGCCCTGTTGAAGGTGTTTCGTTTTTGGGCCTAGTGAGGTCAAAGACATTTTTGGCCTTAACAACAAGTGGGGACTAAATTGAAAATTTTTAGATATTTTGATGAACAGTGATAGTTCAAAGAAAAGAAAAACGGAGAAGAAGAAAGAAAGGACAAATGAGAGGAAAGAAAGAAGAGAAAGGAGAGAAAGAAAAGAGAGAAAAAAGAAGAAGATAATAAAGAAGGGAGAGAAAGATGAAACCGAGAATATATAGAGAGAAAGGAGAGAAGAGAGCGATAGAGGTGGAGGTGGCTGCCGGCGAGCAAGCTTTGGCAATCGGATAGAGTGAATGAAGATTTAGCAAAATAGTGATGGGGAGGCAAGCAGGGGCACCGTTAGAGGATTTCAATCTTTTTTTTGGCTTAAGGGTCGAGCAAAATTTGTGAATGGAAAAAACCTAAAACCCTAACTTTTATCTTTAATAAAAGTTATATTTAAATGCTTATTTATGCATGTTTATTGTTTTAAATTGCCTAAGTTGTTTGATTTCTTTATAAAAATGAGTTTTATTGTAACATTATTGTTGGAAATTGTTGATTGACATGAGAAAGATGGAGTTTCGATGTTTTTGGACAATGGTTTGAAAGGAAATGAAAATGGGTTGAAATTGTTAGATTTGAAAACTTTTGAGAACTTACATTTATATTTTTACATTACATGAGATGTTATGAAACTATTATATGCTTATGAGAAAGATGTTTTGTAATACCCCGTATTTTTTGTATAGAATTTTATTAAATTTTATTTTGCGATTTTGGGGGGTGGGGGGGGGGGGGGGGGGGGGGTAAAGTGTTAGATTTTGAAAGTTTTAAGGGAGTAAAGGTAATAGCCGAAATAAGTGAGGACTAAAGTGAAATTTTCTAGATATTTTGATGAACAATGATCAATCAAAGTGAGGACTAAAGTGATATTTTCTCCTGAATTTGACAGCTTAATTGCATCAACACATCAATATCATGTAACAAGAATACTAAATAAACTCAAACTCAAAAGGGAAAGAAATACTGAATTGTTTTTGTACAAATATGAAATGTGTCAATTACATTAAATTACAATATTATATACAACAAATAAATGTCCTATATACACCCAAAACAAAAGCAGGGCGGCCCCTCTTCATCATTCTCTTCAGCCACTTCCCCATCCTCCAAAATTATCCAATATACCTTCAGCATTAGTAGCAGCAGTAACAGCCTCTTTGTCTTCTTCTACAACACCCCTTCCAACATTATCCAGCCTTGGCCTTGGCCACAAAGCATACATAACACCACAACCCAAGTATCAACAGCCCGACGCCTAACAACACCTCCTGATCCAATTCAAGACAACCCAATAAGACATCATCGCATAAACTACAAAATTCTAAGTCCAACTTCCATACCTTTTGATGACAGCATCAACAATGATTTGGATTGGGTTCTAGTCAGTCAAAATAGATCCATATGTCCATGGAAGCACTCAACAGCCTAGTGCTCCTGAAAGTTGCTCATTGTTTCGTCATTCAAGTTGTCCATCGAGGTGTTGGTCATGTCGAACTCAATAAATTTTAGTGCATCTCTAATTGCCTCTCTCGACAAATACTTGGGTTGCAGTCAAGGATCTGCAGCAAGCCCTCCTCTAGTAGCACGACGATGGTTATCCAATGCATATCCTTGATGTTCATGATGCAGTATACTCTTTTAATGTTTGCCCAACTGTTATCATATTTGGGTCTTTCCCCCCTGTGTGTACTGCATCATCCTGTCATCAAACTGAAAATCATCAAGGACACCGTCAAAGTCATTTGTGGCCAATCTTTTCTGCTTATCTCCCTTTCTTGCACCTCTACCATTGGCCTTTTTCATTAAAGTGTTATATGTAGTTACTAGCGTTTGGCCAAAGGCCACATCGATGACGGCACAATACAGATACAAAATATCACCATTACTGCTCTGTCATAGCCTTATAAGTGTCAATACCTCATCGATGTGCTGCATCAAGTAAAAACAACATGATAAGTATACAATACCTTATGGAAAACATAAGCAAAAAAAAGAAAAAAGAAAAAATAACCCATTGAGTCGTCAAGCCACTTGCCCATTGTCAACATATTTTCAAATCACTCCCGAGGATAATCCCCGGTCTTGCACTTCACATATCCATCACTTCCAGAATCATTATAATAGGCATAGAAGAGTTTTGCCTTTTCCTCATCTATTGGCCTATACAAATCGACCTTTAACTCCTCCATTTTCACTTGCCCACTTCCTCCGCCTTCCTCCTCCATTTTCACTTGCCCACTTCCTCCGCGTCTCGCCTCACCCTCCTCCATTTTCACTTCCCCACTTCCTTAGCCTTCCTCCTTACCCTCATCCATCTTTGCTTCTCCACTTTCATAGAATTCCTCATTTTTTTTCTTCGTTTTCCTCTTCTTTCTATACGTTACTGCCATATAAAGAGAAATTACGTGCTTACTCTTTCTGCTCTCTCTTTTATGCTCAAGTTGCACTTCAACCACTTTCAATACCCCACCAACTTCCTCCTTCACCCTACCAACTTTCTCCTCTACCATTTTCATCCGCTCTTCCATCTTCTCAAACCTCTCATAAACGGTTATTGTAAAACTCTTAAACAGACTGCTTATGAGGTCAACCACCTCATTCTCTCGACCCCGACGCCTCAGTAAAGTGGTACTTGTTGTACCAGTTTGCCAATTTGGTGGAGGCGTACGAACCTCTTCCTCCTCTTCCTCCCTCCCGTCGATTGAAGTTTCATCATCCTCGGCGTCAACAACATTCTCAAACAGTGGCCCTGCAACTGCACTCACATGCATGACCCCTTCTAGATCCCGCATTAGGAGGTCTATCCCTTCATCTCCTACATCGTCTAGTGTTTTGAACGATATAACATACTCCTCTCCCGCTTCACCCCTAGTAGCGGTAAAGAAGGGACGAATGACTCTCTGCAATAAGGAAAAATAATTAATCAAATTTAAGCCATATTTAAAAGCAAGTGCATATTCAAAAGATTAATCCTTTAATCTTACCAGAACCGCTTGAATTTCTATGTCTATTTTGTCGTAATCTCAATGGGTACACTTTTCGATGCGCCACCGCAACATCCTAGGAAATTACGGTTGCTCATCCGAAATCTTCTTCCTCCCCCCCGCCTTAGCCAAGACAAGGACGACCTCATACATCCAAGCCTACATTGTTAAAAAACAGTCCATATCATAATTAAAATACATATAATACAAAAAATATAACAAAAAACTATTAATATTTACCTGCATTGTCCATGGGAAGCCAAACAAATTGTACATGCTCGGTCTATTCTTCTTGACAGATTGGCGATGCTTTAACCCCATGTCTTTTCCTTGCAGGGAGTCCATGGTTAGCTGAAATGATACCCATCCTCACGGATAAGCATTAAAGAAGTCCATGTTGCTTGCAAACTTCATCCAATCCATATTAACAGCTTTTGTTGAGTCAGAAGCCATTAGGGTCGAATGCACGAACTATACCAGACACATCTTGAACCTCCCTAAAGAGGTATACCCATCTTCCCCCCCAAAACCTTTTTAGCCAAGTTATCGGCTGCCCTACTCTTCTTTATTCTCTCTTGCTCTTCCGCATTTAGAAATGCCCCACATCTTAAGCATGTCATCAGGGCATATTCCATCATCCCAAAACATAATGGCTTCCTATCCACCACGAACCACATTTCTTTTTTTTTTTTTTTTTTTTTTTTTTGGCTTTTAACTGAGTGCAGCAACATATAATGCACTATCTGTCCCTAGAACGCCTTTTTTCCAATTTTCTCCGATGTTCACAAAATGATCGAAACAACTCTCTTTGAATCTGTTTATACCCTTCTTTTGTTCCTCTAAAATCTCCATTATTCTCGTAAAAACTTGTCAACTCGACTTAACTGTCACCCTCTCGGGGAAGTACGGTACCTTATCGCTTACAACCTCCAACCCATAGTCTTTATAATTTACGCTTCGGAAAATCTGCACAATCGATATAAATTAAATATCAGAAAAAAAAAAAAAAAAAAAAAAAAAAAAAAAAAAAACAACCAATAGGTTGCCAATTTGGGGGATATGGGCTTTGAAGGCATCGAGGAGTAGGTGTTTTTGGCCTCGAGAGAACCGAGGAAGCCAATGCAAGCCCTACAGAGGCTGTTGTGGCAGGTTTCATAAGCTTGGAGGGCTGAAGATGGCAGGAGGTGGCCGAATAGAGGGGCTGGAGGGCTGCTCTACATATTGCAGGGCTAGCCACGCACAGTTGCGCCCACGTAGCTCCTGCCATCCCCAGCCCTCCAACTTCCCACAAACAACCTCCTTACGGCCTCTTTTGCCTTCCCCCGTCCTCTAGAACCCAAACAAAGCCACTCACCCGATGCCCACCAATTGCTCGACAAAACGCCATAACCGTAACAATAAAACCAACTACATATCCCCTAAATTCGTACAGATCAATCAATTTTCTCTTCAAATTCAAAACCACAAGTAAAAAATGTACCATTTCTTCACCGGCGTCCTCCTCCTTGCCTAAATTCTCGCCAGCGTCCTCCTCTTCAGAACCATTTTTCGATTCTTCTCTCTGTTCTTGTGCCGCCATTGTCTCCTCTACCTTTATACCACCTTGACTCATTGGATGATCCACAAAGCCTCTTATTCGAAAGCCTTTGAACAGCCACCGCCGCCAGAGTCTAGGATTTGGAGTGGGGTTGGGTTTTTCTCATCTTTGTAAATATCAGCCATGATTTTGTGCAAGGAAGCTTTAGGATCGAATATTTGTCGGAAATAGGACACTTTTATCTTCAAAAATCGTAGAGAAATCAAAGGTGTTCATCAGTTGTTTTTTGAGTATATGGCTTGCTTAAGCGATTTTGAAGGGTGGGGATCGTTTTCAATTTTCAAAATTTAAACAAACTTTCATTAATTATAATATTACCCACATATGTTTAAATCTTTTCAGTTTAACCCGTTTTACATGTTTAATGAATCATAAGTGTGCCACATCAGTTTTTCTAACTTAAAAAAAAAATTGCAAAATCTTTTTAGGGTTATTTTTTTAAATGCAAACTTGGGAGGTCTGACCAGTTAAATTTCCTCGAAGAAGGGAACGACAGGGAGAAGAAGAAAGAGAGGAGAAAAAGACCAGAGAAGAAAGAAAAGAGAGAAAATGGAGAAAAGGAAAGAGAGAGAAGAAAGAAAGGAAGAAGGGAAAGAACGTAGAGAGACAAAAGTAGAGAACAATGAAGGTGGCTGGAAAAGTGGCCGCCGGCGAACAAAACTCCGGTGATCGGAAAGAGTGGAGAAAGATCAAGCATATGGGAGGTGAGTAAAACTTAGAATTTCCCTTTTTGATGAGTTTTAGTTCATTTGATTTGTGTTGGTTATAATTGAGTGTAATAGCATGAGATTACACTAAAATTGGAAGATTGAGTTCAATAATGTCACGTGGGTAGAACATATATGTGTTTCCTAAACAAAATTTGGTTAAAGATGTGATTTTGATATAACAAGTCAGTAACCTCAATTCTGGAAATAGTTGGCAGTTTTGAATGAGTGATTTACTTTATATGCTAATGTTATTGGTTTACATAAGAAATTGAGTTTTTTTGGAAAATTGTTGTTGATAATATAAAAATTGGGCTAAAGTGTTATTATGAAATCATGTTGAAAACTTGCATTTTAGCCTTATACTGCACATAAGAATTTAATGTTATGTTATATGTTTTCTTGATGAATGAAGGCATGAGATTTATGTAAAATGGTGAGTTAAAGGTATGTATATTGATGATAGTAGTTTTCAAACCACATATATAGTATTTATCACCCTCATGATATTGATTTGATTCTACGCATGCGTATGACATGATTTTGCCGGCCCAAGTGGGTCGGAGGCCCGAGCTAGGCAGATATTGCTAGACATTATTTGATTTTGCCGGCTCAAGTGGGTTGAAGGCTCGAGCGAGGCAGATATCGCTAGACATGATATGATTGTGTCGGCCCGAGTAATGCATGGTCTCGTTGGGTCAAAGGCTTGAGTGGTGACCAATTCTGCCTAGCAGGATGGATCTAGTGGTTCAACCTGCGCGATGTTAGATCTTACCGGGTTGGACATATTTACCCCTGGTACTAGTTGGATGAGAGTTTTAACATGTATTTGAGAAATGGTTTGGATATGTATATTTATATCATGAATTTAAAATGAAAATTTATAAATGCAAGTGCTATCTTTATATGAAATATTTTTAGAAATGATATTTTTTAGAGAACATAAGTATGATCTGTTACCATAAGAGTTTTCAGAATGAAGCTTTTACCGTGAGAGATTTCAGCATTGGTTATGGAAGATGGTTTATATTATAAAATGTGTTTATGGAAATGAGATTTTATGAGCATAAATGTTTTATTGTATATTGAAATATTTTATTGCATACTAACCTATTCTCCACTCACTGAGCATTATACCTCATCCCTCGTTTTTAAATGTTGTTCTTTTCCATCCTTACTAGGTCAAGAAGGACATTGTGCAGAAGAGTGAATCTCACTCAAGGTTGAGCCACACGACTTTATTTCATCATATGTGTCATAGTTGTGTTTTATTTTCCACTGCAAAGTTTATGTTTCTTCATCATGTATTTATTTCATGTTTTGGATTGTAAAAAATATGGAAAAATCTGATACTATATGTTTCATTTTATAAAAATTTAGTTGCATCTGTTTATTTACAAATGATGTTATATTTATTTGTGAGGAACAAAAAGGAGTGCTTATAATTTTTTTTTTAGCTAGAAGAGTTTTATGATGTTTTAATTCATAAACAGGTTTCATAGTTTTCCCACATGGCACGTCTCGGTCACCCGAGTCTCATGGGTGTGCCTGAAGCTTATGAGATAGCGAGGGTCGGGACGGGTCATGTCATGTTTTGAGAGTAAGTATGAGACGTTAGTGGCTTTCAAACCACCCTAATTAGTACCCATCCCCCTCACGATATTTATTTGATTCTACGCATGTGTATGATTGGTCATTTGCTAGCCCAAGTGGGTCGAAGACCCGAGTGAGGTAGATATCGCTAGACATAATTTGATTTTGTCGGCCCAAATGGGTCGAAGGCCCTAGCGAGGCAAATAACACTAGAAAAGATTTGATTGTGCCGACCCAATCAATGCATGGTCTCACTTAGGGGTGTTCGGTTCCGGGTACCCTACACTTTTTGAAAGAACCGGAACCGATGGTTCCTTGAAATTTGGAACGAGAACCGGAACCGACCTTCCTAGGTACCCAGAACCTGTAACAACGGTTCTGGTTCCAGTTCCAGTTTTGGGTACCCTGTAAAATTACATGACCCCCTAAAAGTTTTTAAAATAGCAAAAAAAACCCTTAACAACTTACCCCTACCCCTACCCCCCCCCCCGGCAGTTGTTAACAAAAATAAAATTCAAAATTACAAACTCCATTACTTTGTAAAGGTAGATTCTCAAAAGTTAAACCAACTTACTTTAAATGTTATGAAATATAAATATAAATGTATTCACAGTACTTTTTCTACAAAAGTTTTTATTAACCCCCATAATCTTTAATTTTATTTTATATTAGTCTCGGTTCCTGGTTCCTGGTTCCGGTTCCAGTTTCTAACTATAGGAACCAGAACTGCACAGTAACGGTTCCAAAAATTTGGAATCGGAACCTACCTATTGACGATTGGTTCTAGGTAGGAACCGGAACCAAACCCAGGGTATTCGCCGGTTCCGGTTTCAACCGGTTCTTTTGAACACCCCTAGTCTTACTGGGTTGAAGGCTTGAGCAGTGTTTGATTCCGCCTAGTAGGATGGATTTAGTGGTTCAAACTGCGCGATGTTAGATCTTGTCACCGTTGGGTACTAGTTGGGTGAGAGTTTTCACATATGATTGAGAGATGGTTTGGATATATATATGTATATCATGTATTTGAAGTGGAAATTTGTAAATGCAAATGTTATCTATATATGAAATGTTTTTAGAAATGATATTTTTAGAGAAACACGAGTATTGATTTGTTTACCATAAAAGTTTTCAAAAAAAAATTTTGCAATGAGAGATTTCAACATTGGTTATGAAGGATGGTCTATATTATAAAATATGTTTATGGAAATGAGATTTTATAAGCATGAATGTTTTATTGTATATTGAATTGTTTTATTGCATACTAACCCCTTCCCCACTCATTGAGCATTTTAGATCACCTCTCATTTTCAAATGTTTTTCTTTTCCCCCATCAGGTCAAGAAGGAGATTGTGCAGAAGAGTGAATCCCACTCAAGGTTAGGCCACATGACTTCATTTCATCATATGTGTCACAGTTGTGTTTTATTTTCCACTGCAAAGTTTATGTTTTTTCATTATGTATTTATTTTATGTTTTGGATTATAAAAAATATGAAAAAATCTGATACTATACGTTTTATTTTGTAAAGATTTAGTTGCATTTGTTTATTTGCAGATGATGTTATATTTATTTGTGAGAAACAAAAGGGAGTGCATATAAATGTTTTAGCTAGAAGAGTTTTATGATGTTTTAATTCATAAACAGGTTTCATAGTTTTCCCATATGGCATGTCTGTGTCACTTGAGTCTCATGGGTATGCCCGGAGCCTATGAGTTAAGGAGGATCTAGATGGGTCATGTCATCCCTACACCAAACCCTTATGATTTTCACCTGATTGCTTCCACTGACGATCGGTCGCTACTAGGTTTAGGGTTTTGCCTTTTCAAGCCAGATTCTAGCAGCCAAAATCCCACCCATCACTACCCTTAGCATCATTGACCCCTCCTAATCAAAACCCTCGTCACCTCGGCATCTGGTAGCTCGCCAAACGCCGTCCACCATGCACAACTCCAGCAAGCGACATCGTAGCATGTGCACTCGAATGACGCTGTTGTGCAATTTCTTTGTTTCCTCGCCTTCTTCACGACATTTATTCTCCTTCGCGTCGCTACTGCCGAGCTTTGGTTGGTCTATGGTGCCGATTGTGGCGGCTAGAGTTTGCCTAACTTGTAGAGGTGCGATGGACAAACTTCTATCTTTCAGGGGGGTTTCTGATAATTAGCTGCCATAATCAAAAGTAAAATGTTCAAGGGCAGGTTGGTAATAGCACTCTCTATATTGTGTCAAAATCCAAGAATCACTAACAATGTTAATTTAAGTGTGTGAATATGTAATTTATGAAACCAAGGGTGGTAACTTGCCATTTCTTGAAACCTTGGGTGGATAGAATCGTTACTCTAAAAAATATTGTGTGTCTCATAATAAAATATGGTGTGTGTACATATATATATACACCAATAATTAATCACATTAACAATAAATGTTCTTTCCGTTGATCTCCTTTAATTTTATGGATCGAATTTAAGTAACTTTTCCCTTGAAAAAGAAAAAAACGTGACCACTCAGGTTTCATATTCAGCGGCTTGATGTTAACTAATCAAATTTTAAAATTCATAACAAGTGAGAAAATCACAGAAAATGTTTATCATTATCATCACTTTTCCCAAGATGCATCCAACCATGTCCTATTAATCACATTTCACCTCCAAGTAATTATTAAAAATAAAAATCATGGAACAATTTGTAAGGGTCTAAATACACAACAACAAATACATCTATCCATTCATTTTATACGATGAAGTAATACCGAAAGTATTATTAACATTCATAATAAACACAACGGTGCGCCTTAAAATGATCAATTAAAACACACCCACATAATAATACACACACTTTAATACCACATAATAATACACATTACAGAAATTCTGTACTTTATAACATATTACAAACGATTCATCCACCACAGTTGAACGCTGCGATCGTAACGCACTGTTGTCAAAAACCAAGCCGCTTTAATAGCTTCCCCAGTTGACATCTGATCTGAGAAACCAAAAAGTTGAAGTAGTGGGCGGAGAATCAAAAGATGTTTTAACAAGACCAACAACCCCCATTGACCCGCCATTTGTCTAATCACTTCCATGCATGACACGAGAGGTGGCAAGGGTTTGTTGGGTCTTTCTTTCTTCTCTCTTACTTTACTGTTTGAGGGATGGGTGAAGATGACGAATCATTTCCAGCAGTGGCTGGAGTGCTTGCATGCTGATTTCTTTGCGATTTTCCTGGCCTCTTTGTCTCAGATTTTAGTCCTGGTTGCCGCACCTTCACTCCTCTTATCAACTGTGAGATTGATTCAAGCTTTTTAAAGAAGATATTATACAAAATTTGGAGAAGATAAAAAGTATTTGAAAAGACTACGTGAATTAGATGATGGTTTAGTTCTTACATATTTGCCACATTTGATGTCTGAGTATATGACTATGAAATCTCCTTCTTGAAGTCCATTTGTTCTAACAAAATCTCCTGAAAGATTATGATTGAAAATGAGAACAATGTTATTCATAAAGACTTGATAATATATATGGATCTATATCAAAACTCGAATAACCCACCTGTGTTTTCAAGGAGATACATCCTGCTTTTGTTGTTTGGCCAGAATCTGAAACTCCAGAAAGAGAAAAAGAAAGAAATCCAAAGAAGAAAAGTGTCACTTAGCAATGAATGCTATGAACAGAAAAAACAATGGAATGAATATAAGAAGGTTAATTTTAGAATACCTATAGCGCATGTTCCAGACACGAGAAGTTCCAATGTCTTCCATGGCAATAGAAATGCCGTCTCTTGCTTCCAGTTCTGGGAGATGAGTTTCTGCTTCTTTCTGTAGAAATTTACATTTTTTTTTTCCATCAAACACAGCTCACCAATTAACCCTTTGAAAATGAGAACATTACACCAACTAAGATCTAACTTTTGAACTTTTCTTTTGAAATGCAAAACACAAAACAAAAATAAAGAGAGCATACTTTTGGCAACACGATTCTTCCAAGGTTACCCACGTCGCTCTGCTTCAATACTTTTTGCAACAGAAACCTCAGGTTCTTCTCCGGCTTCCATCCCTAAATGAATATAAAAACAATCATCATTACCGTACACTATTGCTGAGCAGCACCACATCCAGAATTAAAAGTTTCCATATATTCTTAAACGAGTTTTCCTGATTTATAAGGCATCTATAGGCTCGATAGATAATTTGATAAGCAAATCATTTTTTCCCATGTTTCAAAATATGGTAACCAACATGTTAACTAATCGATTATGATAAATTGGGTTGGATTTTACAGTGTTAATTTTCTTTCACAAATGGGCAAATCTCGGCAATTTATAACAATGAAAAATATCAAAAGAAAAAAAGAATCCACCTGTCTCCTATCTGAAGCAACCTGCCGCTGGTAATTCTGCGGTTGCATGGAAGATCTGTCTAGAGGCAGCATCGGCGTGGCCGAGGCTGCACCACCTGCAGGAGAGGGCCAGAAGACCCAGTTTCCGGTGTTGCCTTGAGCAGCAGGGTTGCAACTATCATTACCAAATCTTGCATGCTGGTCTGCACTCTCATTCGACATCTGGTTTTGCTGGTTATTGTGGTGATGATGATGCCTTGGATGCGATGAAAGCCTTCTTTGCCTAGCCATCCTTTTCTTTCTAGCTTCCTTGGTGGCAGAAGAACCTAACCTCATCAACCTTTGATCTCCAGGCCCATGAACATATGGGTATGGGTACTGATTCCCATATCCGGTGAATGCATGGGGATGGGGAGGAGCGGGGTGCAGATTGTTATCCGGAAACGAGTTGTAATGAGAAGCCATAGCAAACTGAGAAGGGGGCCATGAATGAGCAGAATCAAGCATATGATATTCTGTATGGGGAGGATAACTGTGGCCATTCATATTAGATGCTCCATTTGCAAATGGGTCACCCATGTAACCAACCATAGGTGGAAATCCCGGCACCACAGTTGCCGGATCAGGAATGTAAGACGGCTGCCCGATCCATGGCGACTGGGTAAAACAAGGGTTGGGTTGATCATGCGGGATAGGATTGCAATTCAGGCTTGGGTTTGAGGTAGGGTTAGGGTTAGGGTTAGGGTTTTGGAAAGGGTCCTGATATTGTTGGTAGGGAAGATTGGAGGCTGATTCTCTAATGCGTCTCTTTTGGAGATGATTAGTTTGCACCCATTCAAGTATAAGTTTCAAGAGTTGCTTCATGGCTTCTTTTCCACCACCCAAACGCTTGGCAGCACACTCTATGGTAGCTTTCTTGATTTTCACTCTCCTTAAGTCTTCAGCTGAAACGGTCTCTTTGTTTGTCTTCAGCCATTCCAAGAATACCATGGCCAAGTCATCTGAAGGCCCTACTTCACGGCTATCTTCATTGTTGTTCTGCATCATAAACTGTGCATGTCCTTGTTGTGGCATTTCCTGAGGTGGTTTATTGTCCTGTTGAAACTGTTCAAGAGGGTTGTCATCATGGTGAAACAAAGACGAAGGATCAAACAAATCATTGCTATCGAGCAGATCCATGAACCCAAAATTCTCCATCACATCCATGCAGTCACCGCCATCGATACAGTCCGTCGGCTGAATAATCTCCATGGAAGTAGTAGATGACAAAGTCGGTGGTACATCTACTGATCGATTTTGATTATCATTTTGAATCTTTTTGTCCACATCTTCTTCTACATCTGACCTTAAAACTGCCCAAGACGCTGCAGAAGAAGATGAAGTAGCCGAAGATGACGATGAAGAGCTACCAATGGCCTTCACCGCTGCCGGATTTGATGAAGATGACGAAGAAGACGACATGCAAGGGAAATCCGGAAGAGGAGGAAAGTCTCCATACAAGATTGAAGCGTCATCAATATCAAGGAGATCATCTTGTGGTCCATCAAGCCAGATCTCTCTTTCGCCGGCACCCAGAACTTGTTCTGCCGCCAAAACCTCAAAACCAGTACAGTTTGTTTCATTTTTCGGAACTGCATGTAGATCTTCAGCATGCAGTTGCCAACTCTTCATCTAGCGTTGGTGGTTTTTTTTTTTTTTTTTTTTTTTTTTTTTTGGGGAAAAAAAGGGTAGAAACTTGAAACGATGTTCTGTTGTTACAGATAGAATTAGAGAAAGACAGGAAAGTGGAGAGAAATAAAGGAAAAAAATGAGTGAAGGATAGGGTTTTTTGCTGTACGGATGGATAAGTGCAGGTGGGAAGATTGTATCCGATTAAGGAAGCAATAGTGAAAGGAGTTTGGTGTGGGCTATCAATTCTCAACAGAGAAGAAGCAATAAACCATCTGGTTTATCAACAAAGATAATATAATAATTCCTTAACCCATCAAAAGAAAGGGACTTCTCTTCTCCAAATCTATGCTTTCTACTATTTAATTGCATAACATAAAAAGATTCGATAAAAAAAAAACCACAGAATAATTAATAACAATTACACCATTAGGACTTCACAAAATCATACTGTATACTACACAAACATTATCGGCGGCCAAATTAAGTAGAGAACAGTGATTGATCTCAAACCAAGCAAGGCCAACATACAACTAGAGATGAGATGACTGAGTTTTGAAGATAACACATGCGTTAATCTTCCCAAAGTTAACCCCATGTGTTTTTCGTTCTTCTGGGAAGTTTCAATTGCTAACTTCTTTTCAGATAAGTTCAAATCAGTTTTTAGGGGTTATACATATACAATTAACTTTGAGAGTAGTGTTTAAAGAAGAGAGAGAAAGAAAGGATGGACAGTTTTAGAGGAGATAGAGATAGATTTAAGAAAAAAAAAAAAAAAAAAACAAAGCCTCGTGCCCCTACTATCTCTCAGCTTCACTCCGGATTTGTGCCACCAGCCATACGTTCTCTCCTCAATGGTGCCAACCAGCGGTGCCTCAGCTTAAAACTAACTATATGCAATTCCTTAGGTCTTCTCTTAATTCTTACTAATTTCAATAAAAAACTGAATCTATCTTTCTTATGATCATTATTGGTAAATCCATATATATAGATACATCTTGATAAGCATTAATTGTTCAATCATCAGCTAATTTAACTCAGATTACTGCTTATCTAGTTATTCTTAAAGAAAAGTAAGTTTAAGCGAAGAAACAATCAGATTGATAATTAATTCGACCACATCAACAGAAGTGTAATGCTAAAGTTAATAATTAATGATCAAATAAATTAAAATGATGGATCAAAAAGGTTTTTAATCCAAAATCACTCAAAAGTAACACAATTTTTTAATATATCAACACATTCTTGTTCTCTGCATTATTCTACGAAGAGAGAGAGAAATGGTGGACCGACTGAGTTCAATGGTTTCAGAAATGGTTTGTCAGATTCGTTGGGTAAGCGGCGGGTTTCAAGTTTGCTGCAACGTGTCCATGCACTCTGACGTAACCTTACCCTCACTTGCTCCTCATCTGCCAATAACAGCGCTTCAGTTTCAATCGTCTTTATCTCTACCCCAAAGCATCCGCTAAGTTTACAGCCTGTCATTATAAAAGCCTCTGACAGTCCCGTTTAATGGTGAGACGTAAGCAATGGGTTGTATTTGAATATGTTTCTGCTGCATTGCATGCCAGAGAACTCTATGGGTCTTCAGGAGTCTTTGGGTTTCCGTACACTACATCCACACTGGATTTTCTCTTTTAAATTTTTCTTTCTTTTTTCTCATTTTTAAATAAGATGGCTCTTGTTCAATCTTTCACGTGGGCTGGGTCACCGACGACTTTGTGTGCAATAATAGTTGCACGTTGATGTTGACTGCTTGTTACTTTGAATCCATTAAGCTTTCATATGTTTCAGTTTTATCAAAAGTGAACTGTTGCAGAGCATATCCAGTTGAAATACACCATCTTTTTGATATCATTTCATATATGAAAATTATTGTCTTCGTTTCGCAAAGTAAAACCTCTGAAATGGTAAGTCCAAACATTGATCTTCTCTCTTTAGTCTACGCGGCTAAAGGTATTATTCCCTACTTTTACAAAGAATTTGCACCAAGAACTGTCGCGAAGTTAGTTTCTTCATTTCTGGCCTTGCAACATATTGAAGAGGTCAATACAAGTAGTAAAAAAATTTATACTATAATTCAATTATATAAACTAAAATATATGAGTTATTTAATAAAGCATGTTTTAACATTACTGAGCAAACTCTTTTTCTCGCGCTAACTTAATCGACTTCTTTTGTTCCTTATTTCTTTCCAAAAGCATCATAAATTTTCCCCAAATTAATTACATTTTTGAAAGTTAGCATATGGACTGTCTAATTAGAATTTTAATATAAATATACTGAAAATCTACAAACGTAATTAATGATCAAAATCACAGTCTACAACCAACATTTGAACGCCAGGATAATCAAATTGCTCCAAAGAAACCTGGAACGGGATATCGAAATTGTGCTTTATTGGATAAGGTCAACACTAAAATTAAACAATTATATTGATTCAACTGTACACAGTTTTGCCAGCCTCAATTGATCGGGAATTGCACATAAAAAAATGGTTCTTAACTAAAGTCAAGAAATTAGGTGAAGTTAATTTGGATGTGGGGATTCAGTTATTCTGATTCTTAAAGTCCCTCATGGTCGTGATAAAGGCCGGGGAACGGGATCAAATGTCATCTTTAAGAGAAGATTGAAATCATAGACAGTATATGGATAATATTGTTTAATAATCTCTTAGATTGCCCGAAGGAGAAAATGAAAGAAAGGAGGATTATTTATTGGGTGAATAAAATTTTCATGCTTACAAAAATTAAATCAAGCAAATAAATAAATTAAAAACGTATAATCTAGTATAAGTAGTATAGTTTATTAGCACACTGCTGGGAAATGAAAATTTCTCCAAGTACAGGTACATTATCCATGCTATAGCACATATAACAAGCTAGATAGTGTAATAGTTATTAGATTATAATAACAAAATTAGGGAAGGGCAAAATTCATATTGATATATATATATGAATTCACAGAGTAATTTGCTCAGGTACTGATGTTGCGCTTGAGGGTTTTAGCACCATCTTTAATGGTATCCGTTGATCCCTCAGCTGTCCCAACCACTGTGTCTATTATCTTCCCTGTTGTGTCCTTGACTGCTCCCCATGCATCTTGCACCGTTTCCTTCGCTTTATCACTTATCTCCTGTGTTGTTTCAGACACTTTTTGTGCCGAGTCTTTTGTTTTCTGGGCAGCCTAACCACTCACAACCCAGAACAGAAAATTAGATCTATCAGAAACTGAATTACAACAAATTATTTGGCATATTAATAACAGATAATGTTGCATATAGATATGGATGTAACCAAAAAAAAAAAAAGATAATCTGCAATATATATTATGATCATAATAGTATTACATTTTCAGCTACACAAGAAGCCTCATTTTTTACCGTATTTGCTCCACTTTTTGCAGCCTCAGCGGCTTTTTCACAAGCACTTGAAAAATCTTGTTTTGAACTTAACTGCAACATAAATACAAAGTAAGGTAAAATTTACCCGGATTAGAATTAAGTTTCACTGAAAATCTAATAACTATGTACAATTGGTAGTGTGACTCACCCGCACAACGTTCCTCGACTTGGAGCTCCATGGATTCCTTGTGGCTGCTAGTTTAACCGGGGTGCTCCTCGGGACGAGGGAGGTTGTTAGAACTAAGCTTGCCATAATTAATTTTTACGTATTATGTTAATATTTCTGGAGAGAAAAGATTATGTTGGATATATATAAGAGGGAAGAGAGGGAGAAGAGAAATGCCAAAGTGAATCCCAAGTTCCACATGATGCATTTAGCGATTTTGTCTCAGCTGGGTGGCTAAAACAATTTTAACGAAACTATTGTGATTAATGGACCCAGTATTTTAGGGTTTTTGTTTGCCCTATTCCTACAATTCATGTTTTGCAATTTGCATGTATTGTGTACAGATATGGTTAAGCAAGTCTCCACTTTTTTTTCAGTTTTTTTTTTTTATTATTTTAAGTAAAAGATGACATTATAAGATAGTTTTATTTATGGGTTATGTATGGGTATGCTAACAAGTACACTCGTCACCTATAATTTAATTCGCTGACTCTAAGCAAAGTTCCACATGACGAATCTGATCCCTCTGCCGCTCTGATGTAGTCTCCGTGCCTTCACATAAAATTTGTTCAATTTTTTTTTTCTTTTCATAATTTTTATTGATAGAGATTGTATTGGTCAAAACGGGTAATAGATTTCGAATGTTATAATAATAGTAATTGTAGGACCAGACAGCTAACAGGTTTTGTGTTGGAAATATATATCAATAATTGCTTACTGCCCTTGAATTGAATAAATGGTTGACCTTAAATTCATAAGATATGATGGATTATAAAACAAATTTAACCGGATTTAATGATAAGCGCGAAGATGTACAAAAGCCAAGGTATATATGAATTAAAGCTCGCCATATCATTGACATTATAAATTTTTTTAGGTCATTAATTAAGCTGCCTGCTTTGATCAACTGGTCAACCTCCACATATAAGTCGTTTTGAGTATGTTTAGTAGAGTTTATGAAAATTAGTTTATAAGTAATTAGTGTTTATAAACTAATTTGAGCTTATAACCATTTAAAATTTAAATAGTTACGTATTTGGTTAAAGTATTTATAAGTAGTTGACGCATTTGGTAAAATGTGATTTATAAATACATTTTATTATTAAAATAACTAAAAAGATCTCTACATTATTAAAAATAAGGGTATAGGATGAAATTTTAAAATTAAAAAAGAGATAATATAGTAATATAATTTGTCAAAGTAGCTTATAAGCCAAAAAAAAACCTTCTCTCTAGCTTATTTCTTTAGGCTTATAAATCCAGTTTATAAGCCCAAAAAAGTTATAAACAAACATGTCAATTTAATTTTAAAGTTTATAAACTAATTTGACCAGCTTATAAGCTCAAACAAATACCCTCTTAATTTGTCTTAAGATATGAATAACCATTACACTAGAAAAATTTAAACCTAAACAACTAAAGTGTTTTGTTCTTGTTTTTCTGTTTGGGCCTGATTTGTCTGTTATGATCGAAAGTCTTCAGCGAAAGCAAATCTTTTAGAAGTAAGTTATTGGATCCAGTTGCAGTGCTTAGCAGATCCAGGTCAGGATGAAAGATGTGGCTTCACCAACTTTGACCGGAAAGCCTTATTAAGAATCTAGCAGCCCAAAAGGCAGAGAGGACTATACCTGAATGTGTTTACATGCTTTCTAAATTGAGTTGTAATTTATTTGCTTCTTAATTTCACTCAAGAACTCCCTCTACACTAGTTTCTAATTGAAGTGATCTAAATGAATATTTTGGCTACTGATTGTGCCACCAAAAGTTACACAACACAACTCCATCTTTAGGCTTAGAAACAAGATTTATAACCCTGTACTCTGATGGATACACATCCATACTTTCTATCTAAGTGTCTATTCTCAAACGTATAACAAGTTATTGCAATTCAAATTTAATTCGTAGAAGTTATCAGTTTGAAAAGAGGAGAGTCAAGTGACTGGTCTTTCATTGAATGTAAGGTGTTGTGTCAAAAATACACATTGATTTCAACACTATCTAAAAGACAAAGTGTATTAGCTGACAAAACTCAAACCACCTCAAAGAGATATTATATAATACATGTCCCATCTGTATCAAAATAAAGGATCATGATAAATGAGGGCTCTCTATGTGTCAAGACAACTTGCAAAAACATTCATTACGTTGAGCTCAAAGGTGTATAAATGGACACCTCTCTTCATAAAAAATGGCCAACTGGGCATACGAGAACTAGACACAAACGAGAGCTTCAACCATTATTGTTTTCTCTATAAATAAAACATTTCTCCATTTTTGTACTTCTTACAAGCAATATCTGAAAATAGCTAGAGAATAATAAAATAACAATGGATATAAGATTTGCTTTAAGCATCCGAATCACTATAAAAATCTTTTATGTCAATCTATTATTTATGTTTCTACAAACATATATAATTTTTGCACCATAATTAACTCTCATAATCATTTACGTGTAATTTCCAAGATTTTCTTAACATTTTACCCGTGCAAGATTATCGGTGTCAAAATCACGCATCAACGTAAGAAATCCTATAACCAGCTCAGATGGCCAAGTGTCTGCAAAGCTGCGATTCAGAGTACCACAACCATATACATACCATTAACGTAGTTGAGTGAAAGGAGCAATTTATGCTGCTCAACAAACTATCTAACAATGCATTTATCATTTTACCCAGAGCTAAGCAGTCATGTTTCACCACACAAATAGAAAACTCTGGTTATATGGGCGCCCAATCCCATTTTTGTCCGTTTAAACCCATATGTCGCATCGAGATTTTACAGTTGTACGGTGATGAGAGAGTAATAGTAACACCCGAAGTTCAATCTTCTTTACGAAAAAATTCAATCTTCTCCCAAATTAATTTTCAATTTTAAATCAAATACACACACACACATATATATATATATATAAAGAAACATTAATTTAAATTCAATTGAAGAAATCATATTCCGTTGTTAGGGAGAAATCATGTTCCACAGTAAATAATTTTCTGGAGGAATCTAAATTCCATGGACTGTAATTTAAATCACCTTGCAAGTTGCAATGCAATATCTATGAATCAATAAATTCCATGTGAATTCTTTAAATATTTCTAGATGCATGCATGCTTATTGTATGATTCTTCTCTTCTTCCTTTAACCACAATCATGAGAAGTAAGAACTTTTTCTGTATGTTTTAACTTATAATTTTTCCGCGCCCATAGAATTTCTTTACATCTTTGAAAAAAAAAATTAATGCAGAAGGTAAGATGATATGAACTGGCATCTATGTTCATTTAACACTGTCAACCGTCCCGAACAACTTACATTCTCTATAAAGGCATTGCCGGGTTGAGATCCAATCACAATACACCACTGCAAGCATTTTCCTTAGATAGAAGGAAGTGTTTAAGAGAGAAATGGCAAGGTGGTATATCATGTGTGTACTTGCTCTAGCAGTTGTACATTCTAGTTCAGCTGCTAAAAATTTGCCGAATGAGAGTGGTCTGAATGACCAGAAGAACTTCGTTGCCTTTGGAGGTGTTGGCGGCTTGGCTGGTGCTGGTGGGAACGGTGCTTTTGGTGGCATTGGAGGTGGAGTTGGTGCAATTGGAGGTGTCACCAGCGGACTTGGTGGTGCAGCTGGGTTAGGAGGTCTTGGCGGTGGAATTGGAGGCATTGGTGGGGGTGTCGGTGGAGACGATGGAGGAGGCTCCATCGGGGGCCTTGGTGGTGGAAGTGGTGACTGTGCAGACGGTGGTGCTGGTGGTTTACTTCACCCTTGATTTTATTTCATAGGCTTTCGGTTTAGTTCTTGTTTTATTTTATGTCAGGCAGCTGAGATAATTCTGTCTATGTGGGAGGTTGACTAATAAGCTGTTGCGTTGGGATTAGTTTTGTGGTGTTTTAAATAAGAATTAAGTTGTTATTAGACTGTATGTTTCCTTTATGTAATCATAATGTCAGAAATTTGATCTCTCTTAATAAAGTCCAATTAATTAAAGTGGTGATAAATCCTGCTGTTGATCAAAATGAGTGGCCTTTGTGTTTTTTGATATGTTTAAATTCAGTTCACCAACTAGACACCATCCCGATCCAAGCGTGTTCGACATTATAGATTTAAACAATTTATATTCAGCACGAGGTTTAAGCTAATTGTATGTATGTATATAAGTGCATGCTTAATTATAATGAATGTTTATACAATCAGTGAGTTTGATACTGTGAATGGACATATGCTACGACAATGTACAATCAAATCCCAATATGGAATAAGGCTCCGATTGCAATCAGATAGCAAATACCTATAGGTTTGAATTTCTTTAGTTGCTCGATCGTTCTTATAAGTTTTTTCCTTTGACCAACCAAAGCTCTAGACTATGTAACGGGTTGGGAGTTTCACACCTGAAATGCTAATTTATTAGGTAGAGGGACTCCGTCCTTTATAAACTTAAGACCTCTCCAATGTGTTTTCAATGTAGGATCCGTGTCAGTCTTGTAAAATACATTCATATTCCAATATTCATATAAAAGTGATAATACAATCAATTTCAATATAAAACCTTCACGGAATATATGCGGAAGTAAATGACAAACCTCCAGCCATAGCAATTGTTCTTTGATCTTCTTGCTCCTTTATAAATTACAGGATCTTCCACTGACTGCAGTTTTTGGGTGATGGTTTATGAGAATCAAAATAAAAATTGCGTCCAATGGGGACCTGTAAAGTCTCCTTTATATGCAGTTGTCTTTCCATCAAGAAACTGCTCAAGGGAAAGAGACACAATTTACATTAAAATCCACATCAGTCACATTAGCATAAAAGTGTAGGACCTTAATGAAATTATATTAAAGGTAGGACCATAATGTAAAAAGTCTAACATCCCCACTTGGTCCAAACTCTAATATAATCCAGAACACAAGAGATGTATATGCGGTATGTTCAATTAGAAAGAGGAAAAAGTACATGAATCATAGCGGTAAGTCCCTTTGAAAAAGTACTACTCCATGTATTACAATGCAATTTCTCTTTCTAAATAAATGCTTAAATATGGAATATCACTTTATGAACAAACCTTAAATGTTTGTCCAGGTCCTCTAAAATGTTGTTTGCTCCAACCAAAATGTATACAACTTAAGAGAAAAACAAACTAAATTACAAAGTTTCAGACAATGAAAGTATTACTCTCATAGTGACAAAGCAGGACATAGTCCATTTGAACAACATGATCCTTGAACGTCTTTGGTGGCATGCCTTTCGTTAGGATAACAATCATCTGCTCAGTATGTATGTGTTCAATGAGCACTTCTTTGGCTTTAATGTACTCCCTATTGCTAAGTACTTAATGTCGAGGTTTACTTCGAATTCCACTCTTATTATTCTTAGCAAGAACACAGCAGCTGAATGTCACAATATAACTTTATTGGCCTAGAGATGACTCAACAACTCCAAGCCCAGAAATGAAACTTCTCAACCAAATACCCTGTTTAGTGGCCTCAAAACAGGAAACAAACTCAACTTCCATGGTAGAAGTGGCAACTAAAGATTGTTTGGCACTTTCAAGATATAGCACCTCCGGCAAGCATAAAAAACTATTCGAATGTTGATTTGCGAGAATCAACGCAGCCAGCAAAGTTTGAGTCTGAATATTCGACTAATTCTAAAATGTCGGACGTCTATAAGTAAGCATGAAACCTTTAGTTCCTTGAAGATACCTCATGACCTTCTTGCAGCTCTCCCATGATCCAAACCTGGATTACTTTGATATATTCCTAACATGCCAACTGCAAAAGCAATGTCAGGTCTAGTACAAACTTGAGCAACATTGGCTTCCAACAGCTGAAGCAAGGAATAGTTTTCATTGTTCCTTTTCAATCTCAAGTGTAGGACATTGGTTCAGATGACCGTCGCCTTAACAAGGGTGTAACACTGGTGAACAATCTTTCATCCTAAATCCTCAAGAATTTTATTAATATAGGCTTCATGAGATAGTCCCAAAACATGTTGAGACCTATCATGAATCTTAATGCCAATGACATAAGAGCCTCACCCATATCTTCATACAAAATGTGAGAAAGAAATTGTTTCACTCATGCAGCAAACCCAAATCATTGGTTGCAAGAAGAATATCATCACATATAACACCCAAAAAGATGATTTTACTCCCACTGACCTTGTGGTATATAAACTGACCATGACATTCTCTACAAAACCAAATGAGAAGATAATAGTGTGAAATCTTAAATACATATCGGGAGGTTGTTTAAGTCCATAATGGACTTCTTAAGCTTGCAAAACAAATGCTCCCATCACTTGAAATGAACCCATCAGACTGTTTCATATAAACCTCTTCTCCAAATCTCCATTGAGAAAAGCGTTTTAACATCCATTTGATGTAAATCTAAATTGAAATGGGCAACTAATGCCATTATGATATGAAAGGATCTTTTTAGAAACTGGAGAAAATGTTTCTTTATAATCATTCCTTCCTTTTGCGTGAACCCCTTGGCAACAAGTCTAGCCTTGTATCTCTCAATGTTACCAATGAATCCTTTTTGGTTTAAATACCCATTTACAACCAATAGGTTCCTTTCCAGTAGGCCAGTCAACAAGGTCCCCAACTTATATATGCCATAGAATTCATCTCTGTCAATCATGGCATTTACCACAATTCAGATTTACTTGCGTTCATAGCTTATAAAAAAGTGTCTGGATCACCTCAATACCAATGTCACAGTCAGACTCTTGCATATACACTTCATAATCAGTAGGAATTGCTGTTTCTTTGTTCTAGTAGATCTCCTTAATGTATCAGCAGTCTCTTGAGCTGTTGCACAACTGGTTGTTCCACTTGTATTGGAGTTGTCAAAATGATCTTCTAAAACAATGCATCAGAATGTGGATTTTGATTGAGTGGTTTTCATATTCACCTTTGGATGAACAACCAATCTTTTACTTGATGTAGGAGCACTTGTCTGAAACATCAATTTTCTCAGAGACGAGTCTCTGATTTGATCACTCCCACTGACCACATCATTTAAGACCACATCATTTTCAAGAAATTGGCATTTCTTGATTCAACAATTCTACTAGAATGGTTAGGACAATAAAACTTATATACCTGGATTTTTCTGCATACCAATAAAATATGCACTAAAAGTCCTAGGATCTAAATTCCGTTCTTGGATTATAAACTCTAACCTCAACTGGGCAACTCCAGATGCGTAAATGACTAAACTTGGTTTCCAACCTTTCCATAATTCGAATGGCATTTTGGGAACCGCCTTAGTTGGAACTCAGTTTAATAATACGCTACAGTTTTGAGAGCTTCAATCACAAAAGAATGAGGAATTTGGAGTTACTCAGCATTACTCCGTACCATATCCATTAATGTTCTATTTCTCCGTTCTGCTACCACATTCTGAGATGGTGTGCAGGCAAGGTGTACTGAGCCACAATACCTTGCTCTTGAAGAAATTTAGCAAATGGACCAAGTGCTTGTCCTATACCAGTGTATCTACCAATATTCACCACCTATCAGATCTCACGATCTTAATTTGTTTTCCACAGTGTTCTTACTTCGCTTTATATATTTTGAAAGCATCCAACGCTTCATCTTGTGATAAGCATATAGGTACTATATCGTGGGTAATCATCAATAAGATGATGAAATATTTTGACACTAGCTCATGTCAGGGCAACAAATATCTGTGTGTATGATTTCTAAAAGTTCAGAATCATCAAAAGGTGAGAATATTTCTGACCACTAGAGCTCAGTCAGGGCAACAAATATCTGTGTGTATGATTTCTAAAAGTTCAGAACTCTTCCTGGCACCTTCTTGGATTTGTTAGTCTGTTTTCCCTTAATGTAGTCTACACAAGTATCAAAGTCAGTAAAGTCAGAGTTTCAAGAACTCCAGCATTTACCAACCTTTAATCCTATCAATGGAGATGGTCCTAATCTCCTATGCCACAAAAAGAAGAGTTTTCATACATAATAGTACGTTTCATACCAGTGTGCATGTGAGTCATAAGACTATAAGGAACAGTATCACTTAAATGAATTTTAAACAAACCATCAACCAAAGTACTATTTCCAACAATAGATGAGTTCTTAATTAATTAAAAGAACTACCATAAAAGTTGAAAGAGTATCCACATGGTACAAGTTTAGAAACTAAAATTAAATTCCTAGAAAAACTGGAATATAAAAGGTTCGTTCCAATCCAGAACATAATTGTACTAACATAAGTCTAAAAGTTCCTATAGCTTCAACACGTGAAGGCATCCGTTTCCTGAATAGATGCTGCATCACTTCCTAATGGCTTCCTTTGATCCAGAAAAACTGTATGGTATTAGAAACATGGATTGTAGAACCAGAAAATCCACCAATCTTATGTGAAACACAATCATATTAGATTCATACACATAAGAGATGAGAGGTTACCTTCTTGTCAAGCCAAGCCTTCCTCTTAGGACAATCCTTCTTCATGGGTCCCGTCTTTTTACAGAAGAAACATTGTTGTCCTTATACCTTTGCTCATAACCTCATGCAGCTTGCCTTTCCCTCCACTTCTTATTCTTGTTTGAAGTGTACTTGACATTCCTGTCACTAGATGTGCAGTTTCATTCACTTCCCGAAGCAGTCTCTTCCTCTCCTGAACACACATGGTCAAAAGCTCATTGATTGACCATTTTTACTTCTGTGTGTTATAATATATCTTGAAAGGGTATAATGAGACGAGAGAGAGTTCAGGACATAATACACCAGGAAGTCATCATTAGTCACATCTGAAGGGATTTCAACTGAGCAGCTATGTCCCTCATTTTCATAATATGCTCACGGACTCCTTTAATACCAGTCAACTTCATGGATGTCAATCTACTAATTAGGATGTACCTAATGCCTTATCTAATGTTTCAAACTGTGCATGAATTGCATCCATCAGATCCTTGACATTTTCACACTCCGGTATCGACCCACGGATACTAGTCGTAATGTGAGATTGATAAACATCGCTTAAACGGTTGGATCGCTTCACCGTTCATACAAAGCAATCTCAGCTTGAGAGCTAGTATCTGTAGGTGTAGGGGGCTCTTCCTTACGAAAAGCATAGTCAAGATCTATGCACCATAAATGAAGGAGGACAGCCTCTCTCCCGATATGTAGTTATCACCATTTAAATTAGGAACCTTATCCTCAACCATCATCAAAGTTTGATCAACTGTAGGTAATTCAATAGACATGCTTACTAAATAAATTATGAGGCACAAACATCAATAACAATTATAAGTTTACCAATGTAAAACAAATAATAATCATAAATGAATCGACATATCATAAAATCTCCCTGTGGGTAAAGACATTACATATTATGATTCATTATCCTTTAATGATGAAACTAGAAATTATTAATATTTATAATAGCTGGGCTAATAAGAAATAGAATAATTTTTTCACCCTAATTAATCATAAAAATATAACCTTCCCTGTGGGTAAAATGATTATATTAATATGATTAATATAAACAATGTTATAACCTTAATATGATCATAACTAATATTTCTTAATGCATATATTATCATAATTTAGATGCTGGGCTACTCAAATTAATCAAATATATACGATCATAAACATCAAATAATTTATAACATGAATTATTAATATAACACAAATCAATGCAAGCATAATACATTATTTATGCATAACAAAGTATATATAACATAAAAAAACCATCATACAAGCTACACGACTCCACACGCCACCGTGACTAAGGACGCGCCTCCACGCTCCGCCAGAAGGCAGCACACACTCTCATGCGCCCTCACGCGCCTCCACGGTCCTTTCACGCGCTTGCACGCGCCCAAACACACACCCTCAACGCCTGATGCAAGCACAAACTCTCACGCGCCTGCACGACCGGGTCTTGAACGGGTCAGGTGACCGGTTTGTCCGTTGGACCGGTTCGTTGACAGGTTTGAACCGTTGACCGGTTCATTGACCGGTCTCGGCCGGTTGACGGTCGGGTTGACCTAACGGGTTTAGGCTGGGTTGACCGGGTCGTTTGACCGTTTTGACTTTGACCGGGTCAATTTGACCGTTTATCCTATTGGGTCGGTTTCTCTTGACCGTTTTCTGCAACTTTTACCCAATTTTTTTCAGATTTTCAACAGCCATTTCGGCCATTTTTCTGGCGTTTTCGATGGAAAACTTGAATGTGGACATATAACCCTATCGATGACATCCACATGACAATTTCGTCCTAAATCGATGCCATAAATGACTTCCGAAAACACCCAAACAATAATTTCTACCAAAACTTTAAACTAGCATAACTTTGCATCCAGAACTCGTTTTTGACAAATAATATACCGTTGGAAAGCTTTTTCAACAAGGATTCCAATGACATCAAAATCGAAAATAGTTATTTATAATAAAAGTTATGCTTGATTTAAAGTACAGGTTTTAATGGAAAAAATCCCAATTTTATGCAATATTTTAGATTTGCAACAAAACAACTTCATGCAGGCAGGATTCAAATAAGGCTCTGATACCAAATGTAAAAATCATTCATATTCCAATATTCATATAAAAGTGATAATACAATCAATTTCAATATAAAACCTCCAGGAATATATGCGGAAGTAATGACAAACCTCCAGCCATAGCAATTGTTCTTTGATCTTCTTGCTCCTTTATAAATTACAGGATCCATTGACTGCAGCTTTGGGTGATGGTTTATGGGAATCAAAACAAAAATTGCGTCCAATGGGGACCTGTAAAGTCTCCTTTATATGCAGTTGTTTTCCATCAAAGACAACTGCTCAAGGGAGAGACACAACTTTTACATTAAAATCACATCAGTCTACATCAGCATAAAAGTGTAGGACCTTAATGAAATTATATTAAAAGTGTAGGACATAAGGTAAAAAGTCTAACAAGTCTCCCTTACTAATCATGCGACACCCTTGTCACAGGTGTCGACCCCAATCTGTCTTTTGATTCAAGCGCCCATACAGAGGAGCATCCACAGTATGATTGTAGATCCACTCGAGGGTGAGATGGATAGGCAGGTAGGGGGCACACTTGTGACGAGGGCACATAACTGGGTGGGGGGAATGTCACATATCCCACATTAGAAGAGAAATGGAGGGTACTGGGTTTATAAGGGGGATAGTCTCTTACCTAATAGGTTAACTTTTTGGGTGTGAAACTCTCAAGCTTGTGATATAGTATATGACCATTTAAGAATTGTTATCGATATTCACAAAAGTTTTGAAAAGTGGAGGATACTAACAAGGTATAATTCGGATTCAGGTCTTTAATTCCACTAAGCAATAAGGATATATAGATTCTCTTGCTCTATCATGTCAATTAATCAAATTTGCAACTAAAAAATATACTTGACTGAAAATTAGATCACGTTATTTATTTAATGCAATCAATAAATATAGGTTTGTTCGGTTGCAATTTCACTAATTTATTAAAAATATTACTATTAACTTAATTGTGTATTAACGATAACAAAGAAAAGCTCTAAAGAATCAAAACGAGGAGCTGTTGGTTTGATTTCACTTATGCGGGAAACCTATTTGAAATTGAAACGGCAGGTATGGTTTGCAGAAAAGAGAAGAAATTAAAGAAGACATTCATATATAATTGAAGGATTTCTAGATCTCTAGTTTTTGTATTCTCTTTATACATATCCATCATTTAGCCTTTGAGCCAAATGTGTAATGTACAGATTCTACGTACATTTTTTTTTTTTTTTTTTCAAATCACGAATATATTACTTATGATTAAGCTTATAGTTAGTAGAATTATTTAGAAAAGGTAAAAGTGGCTAGAAGACCAAATCTCTACAAATTCAACTCAATCCTATCAAAGACTGACAGAAGTGCAAGACTCTTTTCTTTAAACCCAAAATTAAAAGTATAATTAAGGGGTGTTTGTCTAAGCTTATAAACTGATCAAACTTGCTTATAAGCTCTAAAATTAAGCTGATTGTTTGATTATAATTTTTTTGAGCTTATAAGCCAAAAAAAAATAATAATAAGTTGGGGGGGTACTTTTTTTTTTTTTTGCTTATAGCACTCTGTATAAGTTAGTTTAACCAAGTATATTACCACATTATCCATGTTTAATTTAAAATTTCATAGTATACCCTTGTTTAATGTAGTACATTTTTTTAGTCATTTTACAATAAAATGTACTTAAAGCTACATTTTACCAAACACGTCAACTACTTATCAGTCACTTATAAGTACTTTAACCAAACACGTAATTGCTTAAAATTTCAAAATGCTATAAGCTAAAATTAGCTTAAAAGTACTTGTTGCTTATAAGTATTCATAAGCTCAGACGAAAACACCCCTAAACTGCATGATTATATAGAAGGGCTATAAACGGAAAGTTCTTGCTAATAATGCGACATTGGTTACCCAAAGAGTTGGTTGGTGGTTCTTCTAAACGGCTTAGCGTGCATAACTCTCTTTTTTCTTGTTACTTGTTGTACATGCGTAGCAGCATTTAGCATCTGATGAAATGAATGCGTTCGGGGAGGAATTGTCTCCATCTCTTACACTTTCAAAAAGTTATAATGTTTCATTCATTAGACATATATTGACCACATAAAGCTTATTAGGTACTACCAAGTAGAAATATCATCTACCCAGTCTCAACTCCTGCCGTTCAAACTAATTGCCTGTGGTAATTATATAAGTCATTAACATATCTAGTCTGCCAACAAACTATCATTACTGGATTGGTTGGATGAATTTTCTCTTCTTATTTGTTTGCCCAAATCCTTAACCAACTATGCATATGTCTCTACCTTACATGCATATATCTAAACGCACCGTAGTAATATTTTCAGCTAAACAACTCTCTAGCATTTACTCTCAATGCATATGCCCTAAACTGTTTAAATCCCTCTGACACTCAACCCTTGAAAATGTGTTTGAAAAAGCTAAACCTCGGTGCCCGCATTCACTTCCATTTACTACGCACAACTGCCCCCCACCGCTCTTTTTTTCCCTTTAAAAGGAGACCCCATACACTAGTTGAGCTATACCAAGAAAAGATTAAGAGTAATAGTGAGAGAGAGAGAGAGAGAGTAGAAAGAAGAGATGGCGAGGTGGTTTGTCAGTGTCATGCTTGTTCTGGCAATAATAGTGGTTCACTCAAGTGCAAGAAACACTCCTACTGATGAAGTGGTTCACAACACTGCAAAAAACGTGCCCATTGGTGCGCCCACTGGTGCTGGTCTGGATGATCAAAAAAACTTTGCCACATACGGTGGTGTTGGCGGTCTCTCTGGGGTTGGCTCTAACGGGCTTCCGTTCGGTGGAGTTGGGGGTCTTGGTGGAGTTACTGGTCTCGGTGGTACAGTTGGTGTAGGTGGTGGCATTGGCGGAGTCGGTGGTCTCGGTGGTGCTGGTGGTTTAGGCGGTGCTGGTGGTTTAGGTGGACTTGGGGGCTTAGGTGGACTTGGGGGCTTGGGTGGTACTACTGGACTAGGTGGCTTGGGTGGTAATGGTGGACTAGGTGGACTCGGTGGCTTGGGTGGCGGAGCTGCTGGTGGTGTTGGTGGAGCTGTTGGTGGAGGTGTTGGTGGTGGCGGAGCTGGTGGTGGTACTGGAGTTCTTCCTTTCCCATGAAATGGTTGAGCTTCAGCTTTTAGGTTTACTTATTATAATGATTTTAAGTTGTTCCGGTTCAAGTGTTTGGCAGTTTAAGAGTTAGTTGTGTGTTTGTGATACAGTTTGCGTCTCTGTTTGGAATATTTGCTTATGTTTTATTTTTTAGGCTTTGACGCCTCGTTGTTATGTTTCCCTACTTTGGTGGATAATATTTTGCGTAAATAATTCCATTCCGTGTTCTGTCGAATGTTTCATTGTGAGCTATAACTAAACAAACATATTGTATATGTAAAGCTTAATAAGTTTATATGTAAATTAACGATGGAAGCCAAGCAAAGGAGACAATGCCCATTTTAATAAACCTAACCTTAAACAGATGATGTATATAACATCGAAGCATCAATCAAAAAATTGTGAAGTTCATTAACTTGAACTTTATATTATCATTAAGTTTCACTGGCGGGTCAATTATTGGAGATGCATCCAACTCATTTATGAGTTGTATTAAATTAATCCAAGGCAAGCAATAGAAAAGAATTTGAGTCAATTCAAGAATTCTCTTCATAATTTTTTGCCAGAAGGCTGTAGTCTGTAGATCAACTGCAGCTATCTCTATCTGAACCAGAATGAATTCATCCTTGTAAGTATCTCAGTTGGGCTTAAAAATTAAAGAAAGAAACCCAAACCTCTATTTTCCATCTGTTCTTAGTTGCTCCGTACGTCAATGTTGCTCACTGGGGCCGGTCCTATACATCTGTCTGTCAGTGATTCGCAGCTTGATTCCCATTCCGTGTCAAGTCCCTTACCCACTCAATTAATCTCTTTTTTGCCCAACATTTCTCATAGCTAACTAGGCTTTATTAAACATTATAATTATAAAGAAGCCGAAATGAATTAAAGACTTGATCTCATGTTGATTTTGTTCGATTGGACCACATACATTACACTTGTTTTGAGGAGACTGATGAACCTACAACTGATGCACATCCTCAGTCTAGTGATTCCTGTCTCTATCAATATCCTCCCAAATTTTACATTTTACAACTACATTTCCCTCTACCACCGGTCAGCAAAATGAAAAATATTAAGTAAATATAACGGATTGTCCGTGACAGATTTATTATGTTGTTTGAAAACAATGCATTGATAATTTCACCTACTGTTAGCTTGGATGCTGATATCGAATTAACTCTACTGCCAGCGGAATTGAATGAGTTGAATCAGATTGATCAGTAGTGGTAGAAGTAAATGGCTGCCACCTAGCTAGCTATGAACTTGCATTGCAGAGTAGTCGAAGCTAGCTTTTACGTTTCATTTATTCGTTTGCCTGCTTGATCAAATTTTTGTATTCAATGTTCACATCTTTCACTCTTTACTTTTTCCCTGAGTGCTGGGGCAATCCAGCTCAGGCATGGAGGAAAACTGAATAAACAAACATCTGAGCCAAAGCCAATTCTTGATATTTATTACTGGGACCACACATCGATCTAACTCTACGCTACATATTTACACCTCTAAGAAGACTACATGCCACATTTTCAAATTTTATCCAATTCTTTTAATTTAAGGTCATTCTCAGCATCAGAGGAACCTTGTGTTGCGTATGGCGAAGTTCACTCAATATCTCTTTACAGGTCAATCATGTTTTAACCTTAAAACACATATATTTAATTGGGTAAGGAACCACCATTTGTGCTTCACTAAGTAACGCTTCTCACATCATCACGGAATATCCTCCAATAAAAATATATAAAAAGGGAAAGCACAATGCTGCGATTTATTTGGATTTGGACTATCAGTTGGGATTTCATGAGGTCATGGTATTTATTTAATAAGCTAGATTTATAACCTTATTTCACAACCCTTGACATGGCAGTTCGTCATAGATTGGGTCACAAAATGAGCAAACAAGACCTATACAAGCGGACATGACCCATTTTGCGAACTGATCAATGATGAATTGTCACATCAAAAGTTGTAAGAGCAGATTATGAAATTTTGTAATAGACTTAACATTACTCATATTTATTAGCTAGATCCTACACTCTAGTTGTACATGCTTGTTCAAGACTAGATTTAACAATTTTTGCGTAAATTTTATTAATAAAAACATGTCTATTTTAATATAATTATACAAGTAATAGCACTTCAAAAATTATTAATGCACCAAACATCTATAGACTGATTTTGGAAAGCATAATTTTAAAGCACGCAGAATGTACAAAACCTTGTCAAATCAGTCGTCACAGTCACAAAATTAAACCTAAATACCGTAGTTAACGGTAAGTACGATCGAATCCACAAGGAATAAAAACTAATGACCTGATGTATTTTTGAGTTAAAGAAAGGGAAACTGGCAAATTGATTGATTAAAACTAAGAAAACTAATTAATTTCAAGAAATTAGAAGCATCAAATAAATTGCTAATTAAAACACAATATTAAAAGCGTTGCCGTTACGAATTCAGGTCGACTCAAGACCAACTCTCACAATTCCTCTCTTCGCTCTTCAATTTCCTAAACCTACAAAGTGGCAAATCAATAAAAACATCTCCCGACAATCTATGTATAATCTATCATATCTCCCCGTCGTCTTCATTACAGATCGATTGGTTAAATACTATCATCGACTAACCAAAAAACACTAAACCATTAAACACCACTAGTTGGTACAACGCTAACAAGTACAACCTATCAACTTGTATCATCCAATCAACCAATTACACAACGAATGCATTCCTAGTAGAAATTATATTAAACACTAATACAACTTGATTGCAATTAGTATGGAAGCAATTTAAAGCCATAATCAACATTCAATAATCTCAAACAGACATTCAATTATGCGAAAAGTTGTATATCAACAAAAATTCTCAATGGACATTATCAATTCAACACGTCAAGAATCAGAATAATATTAAAGCATCGCAAACCAACTGAAATGAAAGCAAATATAATCTGAATACAAGAAACTTAACCAAATGTCCAACGTTTGGGCTCATCCAACTAGTCGAGAACTATCGAGAAGATCCATGAGTGTCGATCCTGATCTCGTCTACACCATAATAGGCAACTGAGAGCTCAGCCGCTCATGGTGGTGTCGACGAAGGCTGGAATGCCGGGAACAGAGCTGGTCATGGCAAAGAGGAAGTAACCGACAACGAGATGGCATGCTTCGTGGTTGAAGAAGACAATGAAAACACCCAGAAGACGAAGGGACACAACTCGCCGGAAAACGTTAGTGTTCAGCGGTGGTTCCCAGCGACCGGTGGCGGAATGGAGATCTGAGGGTATAGAGAGAAAGCTCACGAGCTGGGGAGTCTGTCTGTGTGGCTGGGAAGCTGAGACAACGTTGAAAATGGAGCGAAAACACACCAAGAAGTCGAAGAGTCACCAGATCAAGGTGATGGATCTCACCGGAAAAAAGGATAGATTGGCAGCAGAAATATGAGGGGAAACTGATGGCGTGACGGTTAATAAAAAAGGAGCTCAATCGGCACCAAAAAATAGTGCAAACTTTGGTAGAAGGTGAAGAGTCGTGGCGTGGAAACGGTGATACGTCTTCGATGGTGAGAGATGAAACATCATGGCTTGGATGAGATGGAAAGGATGGCTTGGCCGGTGTGAGGGAAGGTGAAACATTGCCGACCAGCATCCAAGGGAGTTAAGGGTGGCGGCTGGCTTAGATCTGGAACTATTCGTGTTGTTTTATACTATGTCTGGCAAATTCTGATCAGTCCCTTCATGAATGAAAACTAACAAAATCAAACCCAAAAATATGACAATCTACCCCCTAAACTGAATAAATGAGACAAATTCAGACCTAATAAATAAATCACACCCTAATATCAACTCACAATATCTCAAAATCATTCCAAACATGCAAAATTGTAAGGAAACATTAAAATGTGATTTTCCATTAATAATTCCAAAATTTCTTCAATTGTCTCAATATAACTTCAATTTAATTATACAAATGGTTTTTTTATCATCAAAATATAACCACTTTCATGACTGTAACAACCTCTTTTACAGATGCGATTATAAAAATTGCATTTGGATCGCCAACGATGATGGGATTTACTTGAAAAATATGCCTAAAAACTCTGATGAGTTCAGGCATAAATGGGAGCCGGAATTAGAGTGATATAGAAAACTCTTTTTATGCTCTTTGGAGATTATGTTATGCTTCTTTTAATAATATTGTAATTATTAAATGGATTATCATTTGTCAAAAACTTTGATTTAAGGTTATCAGTGGAGTTTTGTTTATGTTTTGTTTATGTTATTCTTACCCGAACCACTAAATCACATACATGACAAGTTGATAGGAGAAATTGAAAAGAACAAGGAGTTAAATTTTTATTAATAACACTACTCATCTCAAAATTTATCCCAAATTTCATATCCAAAATGAGGTGTCATTATATATAATATCGACATATAAATAAAACGATGATGCATTAAATGACATGTTACTACCCTATAAGGTGACAAATCATTTGAGATAAATTTTGGGATGAATAATATTACTCAATTTTTATACATTGTTATAGCTTTATTAATATACAGATAATGCTACCGATTTGAAGTTATAATATTATTCTTAATTAAAGTGTGATGTTAAGTTACGTGGTGCTGACGTCTAAATGATAACTAATTTGGGAATTGATATAATATCACATAGGAAAATATATGAATTAGAATGAAATTAACTTTTGAAATAAAACTATGAATGTGCAGCATTAATTACTCTTTAATTATATACTAATTAAACTAAGCTAAATAGCCTGTATTAATTAGATTAGGCCAAATTACTTTAATTAATGACCAAAATTGTCAAGAATATAATATGATCTTCGCTGGCTACCTCAGCTATTTAAAGAAGGTTAATTAATTACAATAGCATTCCTGCCCATTAATTGAAATTATCAATGATTTCACAATAAAATAAAAAGCTTTATGAATCTTTACGTGCTGTAGTTGGCCTTATACCTCGTTTGGATTGAGGGCTTTTAAAATCCATAGATTTTGTAGAATTTAAAATCCGTAGATTTTGTAGATTTTGGTTTAAATATAAAATCTATGAATTGTTGATTCAAATTTCCATACACTCATATTTGGTTAGGTGAATATAATCCATCATGAGTATCTAAAACAAAAAAAAAAAAAATTCAACTTTCATCTAATTAAATACAAGTTAAATTATATTTGATAGAGAAGTCC